AGTCGTCGTACTGACGAGGTCCAACTGTGGTAACGGTAAGAAATGTATACGACTTAATGAACCGAAACATTTCTTACCTAATTTATTACTTCTTCTTTTTACATCTTTCCTCTTTTTTAATCTTTTTTGACCTTTTCTATCATCCACTTGTACATTTTTCAACTAAATTTTTACTTAGCCTTAAATAGGTAAATTCAGAAAATAGGTGAAAATAGAACTGGCAAAAAATTTCAGAAAATAGGTAAACCTGAGAATAGAGGGTGATAATTTCGCATATGCAACATTTCAGCTTATCCAACGTGCACGCTTCCTCATCATCGATTTTTGCTTCCAGCTGTGGTAGATGTAGTTTCAGCAGCACCATGAAACCGTTCATCCAGATGCCCAAATGATCCTAAAAATTGCTTTTTTTTAAAAAAAATTACTGGATAGAAAGATATATTAAAAAGGGATGAAATGAGAAGAATCAAAAAAAGGAAGGCAGGAAATCAGAATTAGAAAATTCATAAAATTAATAAAATTATCATAATTGTAAGAAAAGTTTCGGTCCATTAAGTCACGTAAATTTCCATCGTATACATTTTTTTTAAATTTAAAATTATTGAATATTCATTCTTAAATATACTTTCCTCCCAGATATCCGTGAATCTAAAGGACTGCCTAGCACGTCTTCATCACTAAATGTGATTATCGGTATTTCCATATCCAGAAATATCTCCAGAAATCCGTGTATCACAAGATATTTTTTGACTAAATTCACTCAAGAACTACCTTAAATTCTTCCTTCCTCATGCTTTTATTAAAACATTTTCATGCCAACAAAAATTTTGGTTCTTACGCCGTTCAAAAGACCGTGTGTGCTTTTCATTAAGGTGATGCTGTTAACGTAAGGCATCCAAATCCAGTTGCAGCACTGAACAGGAATGTATGCGACTTGATGGACCGAAACATTCCCATCCAGTTTTTAATCTTATCTTATTCACATTTCCTTTTTTATTTCCTTACATCTTACATAAACACATACCAACTAAGATTTAAATTAAAATCCAAATCCACGAATGCCAGAAAAATCACCAAAAAGTACACCTTTTTTTCTGTCACAATAATCCTATGAAGAAATTTTGAGGTACGATGTAAGGGCAAAAAAATTCAGGTTTACCTCAAAATACTCCGGAAGATCCTGTGAATTAAGCGAGAGGAAGCATTTCGTGATCAAACTGATATGTTCAAGCCATGTCTGGCATTGTGCTTCGGGCGCAGAATCGTTCGGCAGGCATTCAAGCAATTTCGTGAACAAATCTGTCAAAGGAGCTGCTACCTGAAGCAAAAATTGGGAAGATAGGATAAAATGGGGCACCTGTGCCCGAAAAAGTACTGGATAAACCATATCTACCAGGAAAATTGATTTTGGTAGCATCTTTATAAAAAATTCCAGACAAAAAAGAAAAAAAATGAACTAAATTTTCGAAAAAATCGAACAAAATGAAACCCGGGCACTGAGGGATAGAAAAAAAGGTAATTAAATCATCAAAACCTCCGGCAGAGGGGAAGAATCTCTGGGCTTCTAAATCTTGACTCAAATTCGGGAAATGTGAGTGAGGTTCTATGAAAGGAAAAACTTTGGTCTCCGAAAACCCGAAAGAAATTTACATCTTAAAAGAGCCAGAAGCCGGGAAGTTCAAAATAAAATACAGAATTCAAAAAATGCAAAACAAAGCTCAAATTCGAAAGACCAGAATGAAATTAATTCTCAGAAGACTGCTATAAATCCGGAAAATCCTCAAAAGATTTCCAGAAATTCCTAGAAAAAAAAAAATTTCTAGAAAATTGAAAAAATTGAGGCGCCAGAAAATTTTGATAGAATAAAACTTTAGAAGTCCTGAGCTCTTGAAATCCCTAAAAATTTCGGAATCCTAGAAATCCCAGAAAATCCAAAAAAAAAAAATTCAGTAGAAAAGAAATTCCTAAAAATTTCGGAACCCTAAAAATTTTAGAAAATCCGAAAAAAAAATGCTAAAAAATGAAACTTTAGAAGTCCTGAACTCTTGAAATCCCTAAAAATTTCGGAATCCTAGAAATCCCAGAAAATCCAAAAAAAAAAATTCAGTAGAAAAGAAATCCCTAAAAATTTCGGAACCCTAAAAATTCTAGAAAATCCAAAAAAATGCTAAAAACGAACAGCTTGCAAGACAATTAGCAATTCTCGCCACAGTTTTTCGGATTTCATTTCATGTCGAAAATGTCGGCATAGTTCATCCAGTGCTGCAAGGGTTGCGAGAAGCTTGTCCGATTCAACCGTTAGATTCTGTGCCAATACTGTGATTAGATCAGGCCAATCGGCTGGGAAATCGTATTTTCCCATAACATAGACCACTTGTGACAACTGTTTTTGAATATTTCCTGAAAACACGGGAAAGAAATATGTGAATTATAGATAATCCTATTTGGGTGATTCAAAGAACTAAATAGAATTATAAGTAATAAAACAGTAAAGAAACGCCTTAAGAAACATTTTTTTGGTTTTGATACAATGAAGACTTGCAGCTGAAATGTATACAGCTTAACATACATACATACATACACACATACATACATACATACATACATACATACATACATACATACATAC